TTTTTAATCTATAACACATCCTGGTATAGCCACATACCAAGTTTTCAACCCAATCGGACTTACATTTCCTGTAGATATAAGACTTCACAATATGTACGTAATTTTTCAAAAATCAATAAAAAAAATTAGGTGATGACGTCATCGTGACGTCATAGTCTAGGCAAATTTTTGTTATGAGGGTCTTCCTTGGCTGTAACTTTGATGACGATTCCAGATCGCCAAGTTATAAAAATGGTGGCTTGAAAACCGTGTAACAATAAAAGTCAATGGGTTAAAAATCCAACAGCAGAAAAACTGCACCTTTATATACGTGATTTTATGCCTTTAAACTGGAACTTTTTTATCAAATATTACTTGATATTCTGACTCTTGGGAATATTTTCAATCAAATGACAGGCGAAAAAAAATACGATTTCTTTTTTCCTTCTCATAGTAATTCTCAGCCGAAGTTCAGAACTACTCAGTAAGATATATCAGTGTTGTATAGGAAAGACTTGTGGAGAAAGCTGTGTACAAAGTCTATGAGAAAAATTAATTATTCTGAATCCATAATAAATCATTTGATGATGACGTCATCATGATGTCTTTTAGTCTTGGCATAATTTTTGTATGAGGGTCTTTCTTGGCTGTAACTTTGATGACGATTCCAGATCGCCAGTTATGAAAAGGTGGCCTTGAAAACGTTAATAGGTTAAAAATCCCACAGCAGAAAAACTGCACCTTTAATTAGTGATTTTCCTTTAAACTGAAACATTCTTATAAAATATAACTTGCTATTCTAACTCTTGGGAATATTGTCAATCAAATGACAGGCGTAAAAAAATACGATTTCTTTTTCCTTCTCATAGTAATTCTCAGCCGAAATTCAGAAATCTGTCAAAGTTAGCCGAAAATCGGCTAAAACGGTCACTGTGGACAGGATTTGACCTCAGCAACACGTGCGCTGCAGGCTGACTGAATACGATGTATGTGCCTATGTACAACGTACGTGCATGTACATGTACATGTACATTGTGGACGTCCTGTCCTGTGCATCTTTTGACAGAGATTTATTGTCAACGTGAAGTTTTTAGGCGTGGGCGCAGGGTAATGTTCGAGTTCGCTTATCGCCTCGAAACTTTGAAATGTTTTAGACCTACCCTTCAATCGACAATTAAAGTAAAAACAAATATAAAAACTGCCCTGGTTGATTTTTCAGGAATTTTCAAAATGAAAAGGGTCTTTTTATTATAACTTCTGGTCTGATGACGTCATTTGCCTAAAACTTCCCACACGTCTTAAGTGGGTCAAGGTCATTTATACACCAATATTTAGGCGATTCCGACAAACTTCGCCACAGACATCTATTGAAAATACATTTTTGCTAATTTTCAACCTGTCGGTAGAGGGCGCTCGAAGATTGCATGACGTCCATCGGTAGATGATTTGAAGAATTCTATCGGCCAAGAGACTTACACTGTTAAAAGCAAGTTCATATCTATTACCACTTTCAAATAATAAGCCACTTCCGGTTTGGGCCTTTTTCGACCGGAAGCAAGGGTCACGCTATTGCACGCACACTGTGAATGAAGACCCTAACCTGCTCTACCACTTGCCGGCACAGAATGCTGCGGACGCGTACGGTTGATTTCTTATGCATTTTTAAATATTAAAAGTGTCACAATTTAATTGCCTATAAATAAAACAGTATGACGTCATCATGACGTCATCATTCCACACTGTTGTTTGAATTAGGGTCTTTGCTTGGACAAAGATTTGTGTTATGAATTACTGGCAAAGAGTCAAAAATGCCCTTTGAAAATCGACAATTATTTTTTTAATTTCTGTGTACAAAGTCTATGGAAAAAAATAAATTTCAAAAATCTATAATAAATTAGT